TTCCTTGATTCCCGAAATATTCAGTGCCACCGTATAACCTTTAGCACTCAAATTTCAGAAAATATTGGAGGTAATCTGCACAGCTTAACTCTATCTATGTTGTAAATAATTATTAATTTTACGGATGACGTACTGGCAATCGTTTGATTTTTAAAAATCCATCTCAAATACCAATAATAAAAAAAATATTTGTGTATAAGGACTTGAGTAATTGCAGTCATGTTTTCCTAAAAATATGATGCGGTTGAAACCTTTGACACCTACTTACGATGGCACCTGTATCCTAAGTAGAAATAATAAGGTATTTAAGGTACAACTACCTAATAAGTAAGTCAATATTTCAATTTGTGACGGCTCATCATTATTATTAATAATTAATTTCTATACAAGGGGGCGTCAAAAAATAATCCTTAAAGATATATATTATACAATAAAATTGCATTAATAAGCATAAAGTTAAAATGAATACATTTCAGACATTAAGTATTATAGTAAATTAAAGGCAAAATATTGTCTATCAAAATAAATAAATTTATTTAAAACATTTATACAAATATTCAAAATGTGATAAATAATAGAAATACAAGTCGAAAATATTATAAAAATAAAGATAAATAATATTTATAAAATATTTTGCAAAATTGGTTAAAAAGAGGGATTTCGTGTATAAAAGACAATTTTCTTAGGTTATGGAGCGTGTTCGCGTATAAGAAAATAATTTAAGTTACGAAGGGTGTTCGAATAGATGGCTTGTATGAAGGAGCTGCCTCGCATACCCAAGGTCGAACGTATAGATGGGATGGTCGGGTGACCGACTGCTTGAAGTACTGTTGCAAAATGACGAGTCCTATATTAGGGACTTATGATAGTAAGGTCTATTATACTAATGTATTACTATAGAAGATCTCTATAATTTATAAGCATTACAATAATAGAGTTGTGGGTTGAAGTCCCATATAATAAAGACATACAATAGTAAGGTCTATGATACAAAAGCATTACTATGGAAGATATCTATGAAGTATAATCATTACAACACTAGAGTTGTGGGTTGAAGTCCTATATATTAATGACTTATGATAGTAAGGTCTATGATACAAAAGCATTATAACAGAAGGTATCTTTAATGCACAAGCATTATGATAGTAGAGTTATGGGTCCTATATATTTAAGAGATATAATAGTAAGATCTATGAAATAAAGCAAATATGTGGAAGGTCTCAAATAAGTAAAAGCATTATATTAATAGAAATGGGACTTGATAAGGATTATTATAGTGGCGTGTATGCTGCTTCACTAGCAACTGAGACCGAGGTAAACTTGGACTCACTAACCGATGTGTCCTAGACATATCATCTTAGTGCTGGTGGTAAGCGGGCTTTTTTGTAGCAGCACGGCTTTCCTGTAGACATCACACCCATACCGTTTGTGGGCGGCGTCGTAGCGCATAGCGATGCGTCGTTCATCTTTTGGATTGTGATGAGTGTGTTTGGTAGCACTTTTAAGTGTAACAAGCATACTCAACTTCATGTCTTAGTTAATTAGCGCTATGATACGTGAAGTTTTGTCCCTTAGTAGCGTGCCACTATGATACGTTGGTGCAGTTTTAGTTAACAACATCCTAGTGCCGGTGGTAAGCGGGTTTGTTGTAGCAATACGGCTTTCCCGTGGACATTGCACACCCATACCGTTTGTGGGTGGCGTTGTAGCACATAGCGATGCGTAGTCTATCTTTCGGATTGGGATGAGTGTGTTTGGTAGCACTTTTAAGTGTAACAAGCATACTCAACTTCATATCTTAATGCATTAGCACTATGATACGTGGAATCTAGTTCACTATCGTCTTAGTAGCGTGCTAATATGATACGTTGGTATTATTTTTTAAATAACGGCAATACCAATTTTGTTACCATAGTCAATAGGGATCATGTGGGTGTGTGGTGAGGGAGTTTCACCCGTATAATAGTTGCATTAGTGCTTACTGCTACTTACGGTATTGCGTCTTGTGATAGCTCTGCGGGTGTGCTGCGCATGATTCGACGCATTCTTGTGGTTCTGGTCAATGGAGGTATGCGGGTGATATCTGCTGGGATGTATGGGGGACCTTGGAATGGTGTAAGCCTGACGTTAGTCGTATTGATGCTTGTTGAGTTCTTCAGCATTGCTGGTCTGCAATGGTTGTTTGGTCGGACGCTATTCTTTATGGTGCTCTCTGCGTTTTGATTTGACTCACACCTAAGTAGCTTTGCCCAAGTCAGCTCCTTTCATTAAGGGGCTGCAGACTGTCAGACCTACGTGATGTTTCATATAACAACATAATAATATATCTCTGTAACTTTCACACCTTTGAATAATTGAAGGCAACTTGTTTCTGGGTGAGACAAACATGATCGAAAATGCATTTACTCAACGCCAGTGACAAAAACTCTTTCTCATGGCGAATTATTACTCTTATCTTATAACTGCCTTTTGGCATATATCTTCCGTTGTATTGGTTGGTGGAGCATATATGTCGATCTCATGCTGATGATAGCTGGAGTGAGGATCTGAGGAGGCTCTTAAAGCTGCGGCCAAAATCCGCACAACGTGGGACTCCATTCCCTTTAGGTGAGTGTTAGACTTACGACACGCTCTACGGTTAGTACCCGTGCTGATTATGCAATCGGTGGTGAATCCATACACTTACATCACGTCTGCAGGAGTGGCGGACTGGCAGGTGGTGGCGCTCACGGAGGGTTTACGGCCAGTGTGCCTATTTGCCTAAACCGTGTGACATACATTCACTGTGGCCGGATTCGTTCGTAATCTGAATGGTGTTTACACGCATTGATATGCGCGATTTTAGTCGATGTTTGTGCTTACGCACTACTAAGGGGCCAAGCCCTCTTTTATTGGTTCGCCATTTATTTTTCTGTGGATTACTGTCCAGTTCCCGATTTAGCGTTACCATCGGGAGGATCGCATTAAAATGGTTGGCGCTCACCGCGCACGACGTGTGTAACGAGCCGTGTGCCTCCCCCTCATTTTTTTAAATAAATGTAGGAGAGCGAAAATCTTGTACCGGGTATTTTATGTATAAATAAATTGTGAGCCTTTTCCTAGTGGGAAGGGATACTTATAATAATAATGTGAACCTGATACAAATGGAATGGGGACGTTTTATGTTCTTAACTGTTCTCGAGCCCTGTCTTCGTGAACGGGGTTCTCTTAGCTTATAAGGCACTACCAAAAGATTTCTCTTGCTATAATTATTAATATTCATTCTAAAATTCACTGATAAGAATTACAAAACAAACACAATGAAATAACGGACCTAACTAAGATAAATTACCAAAAATATTACATACGGCCTAATAATTAAATTTAGAAAGATCATTTATAAATCAATCAAAACATATTTTATTTATCCTGAGAGCATTACAGAATTGAAAGGTTGAAATAGTTGTTAGTCAGACAGTTATGATTAGAGTACAAATTAATAATAATATGTCAGCATGTACGAAATAACAAAAAGTGATGTAGCTAAGTTGTTCTTTGTACCATACGTATCCTCATGGAAGAGTAGTAAAGCCACTTCTGCGTTTTTTATACACTTACAGTCTTACCAATAAAAATATCTAAAACATCTGTTTAACAAGTGTGTACTTATACATTGTATAAGCTTTGGGTAAGAGTTACACACGCTCTTTACCAATAATGGGTGTATAACCGTTGTATAGTTATAAACTCGCTAAAACAAAAACCATTGGCAACATTCATCAAAAACGTTTTGAAACTCAATTGTAAAATTGTAGAGACATTTTGAAAACAGATAAATAGCTTATAAATTCTCTTTTTGTAACTAATGACACATAAATTTAGCCCAAAACATTGTTTAATTGAATTTAGAAATAATCTAATGTTTTTAGGCGATAAAAACTGAACATTATTTTGACAAAGCCATATTTATTATCCTCGTAAGTTTATGAACGTACCTTTCAAACAGTTTCCAATTCAATCGTCATTCGTCAATTTTGTTGTTTGGTTTTAACTTTAATAATTCGTTAATAGCTACTATATTGTTAAAAACATCGCAAATTCTGTAATAATGGCTAATAGTAATTTAAACTTTGTCAAAAGAAAACGGTCTGCAAATTGGGATGCATTAGAAAAGGTAAGATAATTTACTAGAATAAACATTTAAAACTATATACTGTTTCTTAAATACTGCTGTTTATATGGTCACAATTTGTAATCTAACTTTGTATATTATCTTTCAGAGTTTATTAAAAAGTTGTATGAAGGAGTTTGTATCCGTCATAGAAAATAAAAACACTGATATTGACATTTTAGTATTTGTACTAATAAAAGTAAGATCATTGCTTTGCAGAAAGTGATGAAAAGGTTAGTAAAATACTACATTTTATGAATTTTGTTTCATATTTATTGTATGCAAGTTGTAGTTTAAGAAATTAAATTTAAAAAAAGAATATACACTCACTTACTGAGAAACAAAAGAAAGTAACATGTGCTTTGAGTAGGCATAACATATCTGTGGACTTAAGTATAAATATGAATATAAAATCTTGCACAAAATACTAAAAAAGCTGATGGTAGTGTAAGAATATTTCATAGGCACTTACTAATATGTACATCCAAAATCAAAGCGCAGTCAAACTCCCAGTACAATAACCCCTAAGTGTTAGTTAACCAACTAGATGTGTTGAGATGTTTGTTAGGTATAATTTGATAAGTTGTTAATTATTATAGTATATGTAAGATATTTTAATTTCATTTTTTAAAATGAGTATGTTTTCATTTTAGTGTAAATATATATTTAAATATTTTTAATGTTTATTATTTGTTAGTTTTGTGTAAGTTTTATTAATATTGTACACATTAAACTATGCTTATTGTGATTGAAACATTTTCAGTTTTAGTGAATTGAATAGCAGGGTAAGAGAATTGGCTGAAGTAAAGCAACAGTGGCGCACAATGAAACTTGATGCCAAAAAAAAAACATGTCACAAGTAAAGACATCCATCAAATGTACTGGTGGAGGGCCTAAACCTCTTAGCCCTGACCCGGAAACCATTGACATTTTGAGCATGATTTCACAGGAATTTGAGACGGATTTCAATGTCTTCGACAGTGACACCATAACAGTGAGCTCATACTATATTTTTGTAATTATTTTGTCTTAGCACTAACACAATGTTTAGTATCAGAATGAGTATGTTATATCATACTATAATGACATCAGTGTGTGATATTCTATTTTATTTTAGCATCCAGAGGTTCAAAGTCAGGAGAAGTCCTCGGTTAATACAATAACACAAGAGTATGTTATCACTCCAGGAGATAATAATGATAATGTGCAAGAGGTTTGTTAGTTTAAATTTGTTGATTGAATTTATTTTGATTAGTATCTTTTGAATTCTGAATGACTTTTGTTAATATTCCAGAATATTACACCACTACCTTTCAAGATGCAAAATGAAAAAGATAGAATGAAATGGAAATTATCATTCAATCGTATGAATGATAATATACACACAACCAAACTTGAGGTAAAATTTAATTTTATTTTAATAAGTAGTTTAATTTAAGTATAACTAAATTATGGGTTATTAGTGATTTGTGATTAATAATAACATGTTTATTACAGGATAGAGACTTAACCAGATAGCGCAATCATGTTCTTGTCAGTTGCATAAAGGAAGAACATGATTTAAAAATGAAAAAATATGATGGAAGCTCATAGTTTTATTAAAGAGGAACATAATTTAAAAATCCAAAAAATATTATTGGAAAAAGAAGAAACGCAGCTTCGTGTTGAAAAACTTAAATTAGAAATTTTACTTTTAAAATCAAAATTGCCACAATAAAATATCTTTTACCTTTTTTTATGTTAAATTAATAGTTTTTTATGTTAAACAATCAAATTAGGTTAAATTGAATAAGATTAAATTAAATTTACTATAATGTATGTCACTTATATGGACTCTGTCTGAAATAAATTGATTTTATTTATTTTTTATTTTATTTATTAACAAAACATTTTTGTAACTAAAAGTGTGTTTCAATGAATAATCTCCTTGTTTCTTGACCAGATCGGCTATCGAGACCTTCCCTTAGCATTTGTTGGTCACCATTACCTTCAGATATGACTGGTTCAAGAAAATCAATGCCTTCATTCATTTCAATGGCAATATTGTGTAATATTGCAAGCGCAACAATGTATAATTTTGCATTTTCCAGTGACACATTAAATCCAAGTAATAAACATCGGAACCTCTGTTTCCAAACTCCGAAACACCTTTCAATTGTATTTCTTGTCAATATATGTGATTTATTGTAAGATTCCTCCTTAGCGATACGAGGATTCTGGACTGGTGTAAACAAATAATTTGTTAAACCGTAGCCAGAATCTCCTAGTAAACGAGCATGAAATTCCCCATTTTCAAATCGTTGTCGGATTCGGCTTTCTCTGAATATTCTTGCATCATGTGTGCTGCCCCTCCAGTGTGCCACTATGTCCCTTATCTTTAATTGGGCATCACAAACTACTTGGACATTTAAGGATGAAAACCCTTTTCTGTTTATATAATATTGAGCACTATCTCCTCCGACTTTTTTAATCTTTATGTGTGTGCAATCGATAGCACCAATTGCTTGCTTAAAGCCACAAATGTTCCTAAATCCAAAAACCACTTGTTCTTGCTCTTCTAAAGTACTAGGCATGCGTATAAATTCCGCCGCTTTACTTGCCAAAGCAAGAGCTACTCTTCGGCATATATTCGTGATGGACTGTTGGCTAAGTCCATGAATGTCTGCTGCATCATCTTGAACTTCTTGCCTAGCCCACGTTCTGATAGCAGTACATACCTGAAGTTCTACAGACAGCCCGCACCACTAGCTTGTAGTTCGATGTCACGTTGAACTAAGTCAACTATTTTTCTCATATATACTTTACTGAATCTATATTTCATTCGAAATTCTTTATCTTGTAGAGTAAAGGGATCAAAACGTTTTTTGTAAAGTTTTCTTTTTCTTGGTGGTTCTCCTCACGGTCGATTTCATCAAAAATATCTAAATATTGTAAATAATCCATTATTTTCAAAAACGCCACACGTCAAATAGAGGTTATACACGTCTTAAACAAAGGTTGAGAACTGTATAATGGTTGCGTAATTTCCCATACAATTTAAACACTCGTTATAACAGATGTATACAACTGAACTGTCAAATGTCATTTATTGGTAATGTTAACGTTATAACTCTGGTATACGTCGTGTGTAAATCTTTATTAGTAAGGCCGTAGGTCTTAAACAAATTTAATTAAATGTAACTCTGCAAATTTGGGTAAAAGTTTACTTCGTACGACGAATGAATGCAGGAAATAAAGTAAATTGGGCTTTACACTCTATTGTGGAAAGTCAAAATTTGTCAAAAAAGGCTCGTATGACAATTCATAATGCTGTATCAGTCCCTACTTTAACGCATTGAAAGTTATGTGTGACAGAAGAAGCACGAAAGCATAATAAACGCTGTAGAAATGCAATCCTTGAAGTGTATGTTAGAGCTGAATCTGAGCGACAGGGTGAGAATTATGTACATATATATATATATATATATATATATATATATATATATATATATATATATACATAATTCTCTAATCTATAATATATATATATATATATATATACATATAGACTGTGCTCAAACTTTATTTCATTTCGCCCGCACAACCTACATTCATTGTTATATGGACGACAGTACTAGTGATGTTTTAGACATCGGCCGTCCACATATTTCTCGGGAAAACGTCGCCGAGTACTGGAAAAAACTTGGCGACTAAACCTAGTTCAGTTCAATCCCTTAAAGACACAAGTTTGCACGTTTACCGCTACAAATAACTCTTTTGTCGGATCTTCTCAATTTCAAAGCACTCCTCTCGGCACCTCAGCCTGTATCGAAATCCTCTGCGTCGACATATTGAGTGACATGCAGGTCCATGGTCAATTATATGAGAAGGCCAAATTGGCCCAGTACAGAGCGGTTAGAATCGTCGGCGAGATAGCCGTTCCTGCTGACGTGATGCAAGTGTATGGCATCACCACCCATCGCATGATCAGCACGATACTAGCCGCAGAGCGTGTCATGAATCTACCGCCCACCTCAAGGGAATGGCCCCCACGTTGTGCGGCTTTGAGCCGCAGCCTTTAGAGTCTCCTGAGCTCCTCCCTTCAGCTACTACCCGTATGAGTTCGACACATATGTTCCACCAACCAACGGCGATCAACGGCAGATATAGCCGAAAGGCAGTTCGGAAAGATTGTCTGTCACTGACGTTGAGTATATGCATTATTAGATCATGTTAGTATCACCCAACAACAAGCCTTCAATCATTAAAAAGTGCGAAAGTTACAGAGATATATTGTGGTGTTATTATATAAAACACCATGAAGGTAATACAGTCTACTGTCCTGTAATAAATGGTCCCGACTTGGGCAAAGCTACTTAGGTGTGAGTCAAACCAAGACGCAGAGAGCGCCATTGAGAATAGCGACCCACCAAACACCTACCGCAGAAACGCAATGCTGTAAAATGTGACAAGCATCATAAACAACAATACAAATGTTGTTAACTAAAAACAACACCAACGTATTATAGTAGCACGCTACTAAACGCCAGTATTCAAAACTTCACGTATCATAGCGCTAATGCACTAAGACATGAAGTTGAGTATGCTCGTTACACTTAAAATTGCTACCAAACACACTCATCCCAATCAGAAAGATAGCCAACTTATCGCTATGCGGTAAGACGCTGCCCACAAACGATATGGGTGTGATATCCACACGAAAGCCGCTTACCACCGACATTCATATAATATATCTAGGACACATCGGTTTATCATTAGCGAGTCCAAATTTACTTCGGTCTCAGACGCTCGTGATGCAGTCTAAATGTCAATCTAATAATCCATTTCTATAAACATAATGCTTTTACTTATGAGATCTTCTACATATTTGCTTTATTTCATATACCTCACTATTCTATGTCTTTTATATATAGGACTTCAGTCCACAACTCTACTATTGTAATGCTAATGCATCATAGAGACCTTTTATAATATTGCTTTAGTAAATATACCTTAGTATCATAAGTCCCTGATATCGGACTATACATAGTGCAACAGTCCTATAAGTAGTCGGTTACATGACTACCCCATGGCATGACACCCTTGAACATGTGTCTCCAGCAGCTCTCTTATAAAAGAAATCTCTGCACGAACATCCTCCTTGTATAATAATATTATAATGATGCTATTTATTAATGAGACCTTACATTCTACCATTATATTGGCGTGCAATATTTTTACAATATACAAAAAATTTTATTGAAATTTAATGAGGTTAGGTTATTGAAGAAAAATCATATCATTCTCATCCGTTCTTTCTTGCTTTTTCCTTTCAACTACTTCTTTTACTCTCTTATTTAAATGTCTAAAGACAGTCTTTTTTCCTTCAATATCATCATTCATACCGCTAGAATTACCAGCCTTTGTTACTAGTTAATCTACCTACGCTCTCTTATTTGCTTCAACATCCATACGTATCTCATCATGCCACCATAACGTCTTATTTTTCCTTTAATTCTTTTTCTTACTAACACCACATACTTCGGTAGCTGCATCCACTAAACCTTTCTTAACATTTAGCCATACATTCTCCAAGTGTAACTCCTTCATAAATAATTCGTACAAACCACTTATATTTTCTTTCAATATAAATTTGGACTTGTTTTTCTCACCTTCATCTTGTAACCTTTCCATTCTAATACGCTGTAACGCAGTGGTAGACACAGATGAACGATGGCGCCAACGCCTGAATAGACCATTAATTCGGCATAAAACCAAATAATGATCCGTTCCTACGTTAGAACCCTGGTAAAACCTTGTCTACCACTGCGCCCCTCAATCTTTCATCCACAATTATGAAATCTATCATACTTCTATCGTCACCTCTTTCCCAAGTTTACATGTGAATCCTCTTGTGGCGAAGGCAAGTGTTCGTCACAAAAAAGATTGTGTTCCATACATACGGTGAGGAGACTTTCACCATTTACATTTATACTTTCATCACCAAACGTTCCCAATATCCTTTCATAACAAAGCCTCCTCACCCCCAACCCTTCTATTAAAATCTTCTAGCATAATAATATTTTCATTTACCTTAAATTTCATTAACACCATCCTTACCATTCCCGAAAACTGCTCTCGGATATAAGTGGGCTTGGGCATGTCTGGGGCGTAGACCCCTAACACAAACAACTTCTTTAAGCCCACTTTCATTCGTATCCATAGCAGTATTGGGCATTCATACTCTTTCACACATTGGCCCATGCTTTCTGAAAGGATGATACCTACATCTTGGCATGCCCGCTCGATCTCGTCTACACCAGACCAGTATGCGGTATACATGCCATGTTTAGTGACATCCTTCCCCTTCCTTTTCGTCTCATTTACACATAACACATCTATTTCTCTAACATACATCATATCGCATACTTCATCCATTTTATCATTCATTGCTCCACATACAACCAGCCAGACGGGTCTCGGCAATCCACTTTTTGCCCCTCCGGTAGACAGAAAGTGACGGGTGGCGAAACTCGTCA